TGGGGTTGGTAGAACTCAGGCCTCCAAGCCCTCCTGTCTTTTCTGTCACTTGTCAGCCTGGCCAGACTGCCTTAAGTCACTTTTCATATCACTGAGACACAATCCCCGATAGCCATAATTTAAAGGACAAGATTACTTTGGCTGATGATTACCGTCCAAGGTCACTGGCTCCACTGCAGAAGCAGTATGGTGGCAGGGCCTGGCTGGAGGAAAGTTGCTCACATCATGGTGGCCAGGAGGCAGAGAGAGGACAGGAGGCAGGGAGGGAGATGCACCCTCCCAGGTTATGCCTCCAGTGACCAACCTCCAGTCAGGCCCCACTTCCTGTCAGCAAGCCAGCTCTGCAGCCCCATGACCCAGTCACTTCTGGAAAACCCTGCCTTCACACACACGAGGCTTTGGGAGCACGATCTCCATCTAATCCACAACACAGACCAACCTGGACTACTTCCCCATGGGGAGCCTCTATCCGGCTCACTCACTGTCTTCACGGCCTTTGAGTTTTACATGATGAAAGTTAGAACTGATGGTGACAAAGTATAGTGATCAACATGAAGACACCTTCAGCTCTATCACCCGAAGCTCACTGCCAGCCTAACTTCACTCATAGCTGTCCACTCCTCAGATGTTTTTCAAGCAAACAGGAGACACTGATAAATTCTTTCGGTACATTTCTCTAGAAAGGCCCCTTTAAAACAAACCATAATGCTATTATGCCATCCAAAAACTTATCAGTTCTTATCAAATATGTAATTAGTCTCAGATTTTCCTGGCTGTTTAAGAATTTTTTTTTTTTTGTACTGGGAATCAAACTCAGGATCTTGCACTTGCCAGGCAGGCACTTATGTTGCTGAGCTATAATCTCCAGCTAGAAATCTTTTAATTCTGAGCTCCTGTTTTGTGACTTCTGTTCCCTTTGAGAAATTCCCTGTTTGAAGCTGTGTTGTCAGGTCCTGGACACTGTGGTTCCTGGCACCATCCAAGCATGTTCAGGCAAGGGGACTCTGAATGGATAGACAAGACCATCATCCTCACCACGTGCAGACTGCTTGGTCTGTGGCTGGGGCATCTCACAAGGACTCTGAAAATGATGTTAGTGAGACTCCAGTCATCTCTGCAACCTGCTGTCCAGCAGCTATGGGTGGTACATGCAGGCCATGTGTCCCTTGCTTCAGACCTGGAGGCAGCCATTTTCCCAAGAGGTTGAGCTCCTGGGCTAGTCACACATCTAGGCTCTATTCTGTCATGCTGTGCGTTGGCTATATCGCTCAGCTTTTTCATTTTTCCAGGCTTTTGGACCTGCCTTCCAAATCAAACAGTACCACAGTGACGACAGTGTGCTGCTGCCCTTCCTCTTGGGGGCCATCATTCACCTGCTAAGTCTAGCAGACTCATCTGGCAGAGGAGGGTCTGTAATGTGCTACCGGCGGTGCTGTACTCAGAACGGTGGGAGATTGTCGAAGTGCTCACCATGGAGTGGAAGTTAGGAACGGACAGAAGGGCCTTCAAGGCAGAGGCGGAATAACTCTTCTCTTGATACCCAGAAAATAGGAAGGCTTGCTAGGATGTAGGAAGCCAGAGCTGCAAGACGGTCCCCCAGTTAGAGGGTAGAGCAGTGGTGGGAGGGATGTGGGGAGCTGCCAGCCTTGTAGTGACCTGTGCTGGCATCGTCCGAAGGCATTTAGTCACCTCTGCACCTAAAGCTAGCAGCTACTTGGCGACATCTCAGCAGTCCCGGTGACACGCCTCACATCGCACCGTCCGGCCTGCAAAGTCCTTGACGTTAATGTCCGCGCCCTCGCATGAGCGCCTCGGTTCGCCGGGCACCTCCGATGGCGGCAGGGTGCAGCTCCTCGCTCTTTTCTCTGTTCACTTTTGTCTCTGGCTTTTGACCCAGAGGAGCGAGTCGTCGCCAGACGCACGGTAGTCTGCGAGGGCGCTTTCGCAGTCATCTGCAGGAGGGCGCCATCTGCCGGCGGCCGCGCTCCCCGGGCGGGAAGCCGCGCTCCAGATGCAGCGGACCGCGCCGGGGGAAGCGAGCCCGCCCAGGCTCGCCGCGCTCTCGCGGGCCCTCTCAGCACAACTTTCTAAATCATCGAAAATAACGGAGCTCCAAACGATTCTGAGTTGAAAACCATCACTGATCCGATATTTGAAGAGGAAGCTGATGCTCAGACTGGACGCGCCAGCGTGTGTGGGGCGGGTGTGTGTGTGTGTGTGTGTGTGTGTGTGTGTGTGTTGGAAATCCAGGCTGCCTGGATCCAAATCACACACACTCTATGCTTGCGCAACTGCAAGTGATTCTTCTATGGAAGGGCGTCGGCGGCAAGAGTTGAGATCATGAATCTAGAAAGGTAAGCAGGACTGAAAGATACAAGGTGTGCCACTCTAAACAGAATTTCTAACAGTTTCTTTTAGTGTTCCATTTTTGCACATAGCATAGTGGGGGACTGATACGTATAAACATTGCATCTTGGTCATTTTTCCTCCACCCTCCTCTTTGTCTGCTTTCCTAGAGCTCCTGCCCATCTCTACAGAGTCCATCTGCTTGTTTCTTTTGGTGCTTTTTAAATTTTGCTCTTTATGTTAGTTTGGGTCTCTCCTATTGGAGAAAGAGCGCACTACAATCATGAGAGTGCCGCGCCCAGGTTTCTCCCGGGGTGTCTGGGAACACAATGAGCCTCGGAGTCATGAGATGCGGTGCGCAAACCAGCAAGACAGGCGGTGCGCGGGAAGCTTGCCCCGCTGGGCTGCGGGTAGAAGGAAGGAGCCCGCGGAGAAGGCGCTTCGGGAGGAGAGGCTCCCGGCACCTCTTGCCGGCTGAATCAGGGGGCCAAATGAGGAAGGTGGGTAGCTGAGAGGCAGGACCTTCCCCGACTCAACGGCTACGATTCGTGTTTACATCTCCAATATTTTATAAATCGGGTCGAGAACTTAGCTCAGCGACATACGCTCCTGCCTTGCAAGCGCGCGGTCCTGAGTTTGATCCCCGGTACCATAAATAAACAAATAAACCATCTTTGTATAATTATCACAGGAAAGCTTGCTAATATCCTGGGTCTGCTGTAGGGGACACTAATTCCATATCACAGTGAGAGAACCGCATAAGGAATCATATAAGCCTCCCAGCTAGGAAGCAGAAAGGCCAGGATTTAAACCAGTGGCTCTTCCAAGCTAGGTGCTAAGGACTGTTATAGCAGTGGTCTCTGTGTGGAGCCAGTGTTCCTCATTTGTTGCTACAAGACTATAGGACACTGTCCTGCCAGAAAGCCATCTACCAGTTGGCCTCTGTTTTATCCATGTGAACACTGTAAGGGACACAATTCACCATTTTTCATCCTGGCACCAATGTTTATTTAAACACTGCAAAAAAGTAAAATATGCTGAAAAGTAAACAAATTAAGATGCAAATCATGCATCTTTGTCCTATGCTTGGCAATCTGTAAGCCTAAACAGTGACTGTCTTTAGAATTTAGTTCTTCTTTGTCTTCCTTTTGGTGTTGGGGTTGAGCCCAGCATCTCACATATGCTAAGCATGCACTCAAACATGGACGCTTTACTCCCAGCCGTGTTTTTTTTTTTTTAATTATATGGAAACAGCCTCTTCTCCAAACGTTACCCTAATTTGAAAGAACGCACAGTCAATACCTTATTTGAAGTATACATTTGAAAACATTTAATTTATACCTGTATTTCCTAGTGTGTTGCCTTGCTTATGCTTAGCACTAAATAAATGCTTGTGTATAAATATATAAATGTCTGGCTCCTACTACTTGCCACTTGGAAATGGACAACAAGTGATTATGTAGAATAAACTGTACATAATTTTTTGAAGTTTTTTCCTTCCATGCCAAGCACAGTACTAGGTGCAATCCAATCTCAAAGACTAATACATTGACTCACAATATTGTGTTCTATAGCCCCACCTGTGAAATTTTTTTTGATAGAGACTCTGTCTGAGTTCAGGTTGATCTTAATTTACTGTGTATCTCAGGCTGGCCTTGAATTCACAGCAATCCTCCTGAATACTTGAACTCCCATTCAGCTTTCTGAATGCTTAGATTACAGGCATGTGCCACTATGCCTGGGTTCACCTGTATTCTTTTTCTTTTTTTTTTTTTTTTTTTTTTGTCTTTTTCCTTTTTATCGGTACCGGGGATCGAACTCACGACTGCCTGCTTGCAAGGCAGGTGCTTATGCCGCTGAGCTAAATCCCCAGCCCTCACCTATATTCTTGAAACACATGAATTCCTGAGCCTCATGCCCAAAGATTCTCATATAAGTGATCTAGAGTAAAGTCTGTTTATTGGTATTTTTAAAAAATCCAAATGATTGTAGTGTGCTACTCAGGGGAAAAACCTGATTCATATAAGGCAAATACAATGGTGGAGGGATTAAGCACCCTGGTTCTGGAGTCCCTGAGTACAAATACATCCATCCCTTGCCCCATCGCTAAACTCCAGCTCAGATTACTTGTCTGTCCAGTGGGCACGGGAATGATGGCTGACAGCTGAGATACTAAGCAAAACCAGTATCTGACATACAATAGCCAACCAAGTTTGATCAACTATTATTACCATGACTTTGCTTGAGGGTTGAATAGGAACACGGTTCTTTTGCCTTATAAAGCAATATATTCAGGGGTTCTGGGGAGTAGGAATTGATTATCCTTGAGGAGCTCATTATTTAACCTGATTCACTAGGCAGCCTGCTAGTTTAGTAGCTGGAAATGGAAATTTGCCCAGATTTTGAATGGTGAGCCTGAAACTTCTAAGAAATATAAAATGACATGGGGTAAGGGATAAATGAAAAGGATACATTATTTCAGTGTTTCCACTAAATAGCACTTAAAAATAAGTGAAACATTTTATTAAAGTATGAGAAGAATATGTTGTTAGTACTTTACTAATTTGGCAAATATTCATCAAGCATACATTAGATGTCAGGCACCTAATTAGGCATTAGTTCCAAAGTATACAACTAAGTATAAAATATGACAGTTGCTTTCAAGAAACTTTATTTCTGTGGATCAGATGGAAAATAACTCATTTTATTGCAGTCTGATAAATGTAATGAAAGGTACAGTCACAGGGCATTAAGACAAATCATAGGAGCAACATCTGCCCAACCTGAAGCAAGAAGGTATGAAAGTCTATCCCAGATACTGTGTGCATGGGCCTATCAGAGAAGCAGAACCAAGGCCCCGAATTCATGCAGCTGGGGGAGCTGAGCCAGTAGTCTCTGCAGGTTATCATCCTCATTTGACTCTGGAGCCTGAAATCAGCGAGGCAGGCAGTGGGCGGGGAGGTATGTGTGAAGTGGAGGAAGGAAGGACAAGGGACATCCCATGAGCACAAGAGTGTGCGGAGGTTTCTGCCTCCACCACAGAGGCTCATCACACGGGGTTCCTGGGGGAGGAGGCGGCATCCTTTCCCACGGAAGTCAACCCACCTGGCTCAGTAGTCAGAAGCTACAGAGGACAGGAGTGACTGCTGATCCTCTGTCTCGTCTCTATTTCATTTGTGAAGAAATAAAGGAGAAATAAAAAGCCACATGAACTGCAAGTTGACACATTACAGAAACACCACATCATAATGGGCTTGAAAAGGGGCATTCAGCTCCCAGTGAGATGGAGATGACACACTGCTTGTCTCTGGATTGCCCACCCTTATCTAGGGTGGAAACCTTGTCTATCTCACCCAAACATCCTCACTGTCTCGAACACATGTGGCTCGTAGAAGGTGCTTGGTACAGGCTTACTGAGCCAGTTTTCAAGAGCCCCTCACCCAAACTGTGCTGATAGAGTTGGCTATAAGCCATATTTGTGGACTCTATATCTATGGATTCAACCAACCATGAATGGAAAAAATTAGAATACATGTGTCTGTACACTAAATTTGTATACATTTTGGTCATATAATGGTTACTCATATCACATGCACATTGTATTAGGCATTATGAATAATCTAATACATAAAATATATGGGAAGATATATGTATATTATGTGTAAATACTGTGCCATTTTGCATAAGGGACTTGAAGGGTCCCAGGTTTTGGATCTGTTGGAGTCCCAGAACTTAATCTCCCCTAGTCCTGAGCAATGACTTAGGTCATTTCAGTTGACTTAGTGGGGTTGAATGATGTAGAGTTTCTGCTCATTACCAGACACCAGAGAGGCACCAGAGTTTTTAGTAGCTGGATTTATACATTTTAATAGAGAATTTGAAAGTTCATAGTAGGCCAGGGATTTAGCTCAATGACCTAAGTGCCTGCCTGGCAAGCACGAGGTCAGGAGTTCGATCTCCAGTATCAAAAAACCAAACTAAACTAAACTAAGCTAAACTAAAAGGTCATTCCATCTTTTAGAAAAGCATCTACAAAGAGACTCAGGTTGTCAAGATGGGAAACTTACACGGTCAACTGCATGTTATTCCAGTTATAAAGAAGCTTCAATTCCTTGCTGTAAGTGAACTTAAAGAATCTCTGGATAGCAAGTTTAATAGCCGTGGATCTTGATCTACTGGCTATTTGCTTTAAAACTTCGTGGGTTATTTTTGCCAACTTCTGAATCATATGGTCTTCATCCAAGAGCATTCGTTCAATAGCTGTGACAGTAGAGAGGCCCTTAGCTGGAGGTGGATCTGCCTCAGAGTCCCAGAAGATCTTGCTCCAAGCAGCCCCATCACAGAGTCCTCCCTGCCACCTCCCTCTCTCACTATCCCTGCTGATTTCTTTATTTTGATGAAAGGCATCCCATTAAAAGAAAGGAAGTATTCACTGAACATTTACCCAGTACCTCTTACGTGCTGAGCATTATCCTCAGTAGCATAAACATATATTCATAAAAACATTTACAAACATACACACATTTTGGTCATAATAATAAAAAGTTGGAACTGGTCTTCTTATCAACAGAAAACTGCTTAAAAATTAACATTATAGTTGGATGTGATGATGGTTTCCTGTAACCCCAGCATCCTGGAAGGCTGAGGCACAAAGATTGCATGTTTGAGCCCAGCCTGGGCAATTTAGTGAGACCTTGTCTCAAAAAAAAAATTATATATATATATATGGAAGGGTTGGGGATTAGCTCAGGATGAAGGCACTGGGTTCAATCCTCGTTATGAAATGAAATAGTACACACTTTTTTTTTAATATAATGAGATAGATACAGTCCTTGGCATAGAAAGATATTTATGACATATGAGGAGGTGAAAAAGTTATGAAATGGTGATGATCATTTAAAAAGACAAATATGGCCAGGCGTGGTGGTGTATACCTGTAATCCCAGCACTTGAGAGGCTGAGGCAGTAGGACTGCCATAAGTTTGAGGCTAGCCTGGGCTACATAGTGAGTTCAGATTCGGCCTGAACTACATACGAGACCGTATTTATATGATAAATATGTAGTAGCCTCTATTCTTTTGAAAAATCTGAGATAATACAATGCTAGTATCATATCCAAATAATGGGCCATGAAAAATTATTTTATTTCTTCATGAGAGAAATAGAGAAGATAAAGAGGGCATTTAGAAAAGAAAAAGGAGAAAGAACAGGAGGAAGAGAAGAAAAGGCAAAAAAAAAAAAATCTTGGAAAACTGTAGCTCTCAGGGTCTGACAGGCAGTGAATGCCAGTGAACGAATGGGAGCAGCAGGAAGCAGGCGCTGACCGGCGGCGCAGGCTTGAAGGCATCTGCCTTTGGAGGAAGATGCTGACGTGGAGAAGGCGAGGCAGGAGGTGGGGAGGGAATCTACGGAGTCTTTACCTCCAGCGCCCTCTTGCTGTGAACCCAAACTGCTCAGCAAAAGTCTAGTTAAGCGGAAAAAACAAACAAACACCCCCCACCACCACCAGAAGGGAGTAAGGCACCCTATTTTTCATCTCATTTTTTGGAATTCTGTTTTTTTTTGTTTGGTTGTTTTTTGTTTTTGAGCAAGGTCTCACAATTCAGGCTGGCCTTGAGCTCACTATGTAGCCCAGGCTGGCCTCGAACTCACTGTGATCCCCCTGCCTCAGCCTGAGTGCTGGGATTACAAGTGTGTGCCACCACACCTGGCTCTCTTCTCGGAATTCTGACTCTGCTGAGATAGTGAACAAAGGGAGGGAAGGAGGGAGAGAGGGAGGGAGGGAGGGAGGGAGGGAGAGAGAGAGAGAGAGAGAGAGAGACAGAGAGACAGAGAGAGACAGAGAGACAGAGAACCCTAAAATCCAAACATCTTCCTAGAATATTACCCTTCTTCAATTCCCTCCTCTGCATAAAGATTTTATTATAACTTTGAGACTTACCTTCAGCCATAACTTCAATTTCATTTTTGAATAATAAATGTCCACCTAATTGTGCCAAGTAACCTGTATACAAAGTAAAACTAAAGTTACTACAAAACATAGCATGAAAATATGTTCACATAAACCCTCTCTCTCTCTCAGAGGCGGGTTCTTCAGTGGCAGAGCTAAGCAGGCTTTTCTGGAGAACGTGCCTCTGCACAGTCTTGCAACATACACACGAGCACAGACGGAAGGTGGTTTGGAGTATGCTTATCTTGGCTGGCACACAGAGTCTTGCCAGGTGTGGGTAAATTATCTGGTCTAATCACAATCTGGTCTAATCTGGGGTATGAGACGTGTCAGAATTTAGGGAGGATGCGGGTAGATCTTGTTACAGAGTAATGTGAAAGGACTCAGCTCTTTATGAATAATGTCAGGGGGTTGGTGCCAACCTTAGGAAGCCAGCAGGGGGGAAAATTTATCAGAAGGGTCACAACATACATCTGGACAAGGCTAGGATTTACTGCTTAAGATAATAGTTACATTTTTCTTCAAGGGAGGAAATCCATTTAATAACTTTCAAAGGTGCATTCAGTGATTAATAAACTTTGAGACATCCCTGTAATCCCAGCACCTGTGAAGCTGAGGCAGGAGGATCATTGTAAGTTCAAGACCAGCCTGGGCTACAAGGTGAGCTCAAGGCCAGCCTGAGCTGCATAGCGAGACCCTGTCTCAAAAAGACCAAACAAAACAAAACAAAACAAAACAAAAAAAACCCTCAAAAACAAAACAATCCCCCACAAAAAAACAAAAACAAAAAACACCACAAAAACAAACACCCCCCCAAAGACCCAAACTGAGAAATTCTACATTCCTCTTCTCAACTAGCTAGTCTGCTTCAGCTTCACCAATTCACACACCTGAATGGGGAGTGGGTACCCCCAGGCAGAGATGAGCTAAACTCATTGGGAACAAGGCTCCAAGTGCTGACTCACACTCACACCATGGACAGGTGACCAGGGAGGAGACACACAGGTGGAGTGTCCTCAGCAGCAGGGAGAAGCAAGCTGTCCAGGAGAAGGGTCAGACTGGACTCTCAGGCTGTAACTATTGGGGTCATGAGAGAAAGTGGATCATTCCCTCTACCACATAAGGCTAAGTCAAACTCAAGGTTAAGTCATTCCTGCATAGGCTCCTACACCCTCAAGATGTGGCACAGAGCAGGTGCTGGACAAAGGACTTGTCACCAGGGATGGGCCCAAAGTCCTGCAGGTAAAAAGGTTGCTGTCCAGTGCTGTCCTGGCTGCTCGTGCTGTCCTAATGGAGGATTCTCAGGAACATCATAGGATCTGGCCCAGCCTTCTGCCCTTGGCCCTGGTTTGCCCTGGAAGTGAAGTGGGGGTTACGGATTGCACAGATCCCTAGGAGGGAACTCACAGCCAGGATCAGAATCCTGCCAGTTGTCCCCCTGCAGACCCACAGTAAGGCAAGCAGGCAGCAAAGGTTCAGATGGGAGAAGTACACGTGGGAGAACGGCCCAGCCTAACCATGCAGGAAGAGGGCAGCGTCCTGGCTTCCCACGCTGCAGCGATGACCGCATCAGGAGTCTCTGCCCCTCGGATTCATCTATAACCTTCTTGGCCCTGCTCTGGGACACTTCTGTGTGGACAGTGTCAAGAGTGGAAGGGAGAGAAAAGGGGTCAGGGACGTGTGTGGGGTCGCTGCAGCCTGGCTCCTTCCCTGTTCCTAAGGTCACTTCCTCCCTCTAGACTGTTTCTCTAATCACCTCCCTTAGGGGTCTGTTTCTACCTGAGGGTACCTGCTCTGCCCTTGGGGTCCCCTCCTCTGCTCCCATCTTTGTGAGTTGCCCTGTATTAATTAAGCCTTCCTTAAATTCAAACAAAACACACTTTCTAATCACCGCAGGAACTTTTTTTATAAGCATAATATTACCAACAACAACAAAAAAAACTGACGAAAAAATTAGACAAAATACCCCAAATTAATTCTACTCAACTTGTGTTTTTCAAAATCAGAAATGAACTCCAAACAAATGTCACAGATGTCCAGGAGGTCAGCAAGTAACCCCAGTGGGAGGAAAAGCACAGACTGGCCGGCATGGAGGGGCAGTTCCACCTACTTGCAGATCGGAGGGTCACCCTCTTGCCAGCAGGTGTAAGTGTGGGTTCAGAGTAGTGCAAGTCCCATTTATATCCTCCCAAAATAAATAACTGAGACCCCAGATACTAGATGTAAGCTCTCAAATTTTAAATGTTGACAATTGCTATGTTCTGTTAATTGTCACTCCAATATCACTGCTTCTTTTGGCCCATGTGAAAAACCATACTTTCAAGCAACTCCAGGACAAATGGTGATACTGGGTCTGAAAGATAAATCACTTTTTGGGACTTCAAAGAGAGCTTCATAAAGCCCAATTAGAAAACATACAATTTTGCCTTTACTCTTTGTTTTGGTCTTTTGGTAATGGGGATTGAACTCAAGGCCTTTGCACTGAGCTACGTCCCTAGCCTTTTACTTTTTACATAGTTAGAGACAGGGTCTCATTAAGTCGTCCAGGTTAACTCATGATCCTCCTGCCTCAGCTTCCCAGAATGCTGAGAGTACTGCCCTTTGCTTTTTATTTCCTTTCTTTCTAAAGAAAAAACGAATGAGTGTAACAGCCACAGGCTCAGGACAGATGGCTCTGCGCAGCTGGGCAGTGTGCACGTCCATTGATGCTGCATTTCTCATATGTGCAGTGTGTCTGAGGATAATGTAGCAATTCCTCGAGAGGAAATTGCTGAGTCAAAAACACGCATTTCACATTTGGATGCATGTGACCAAACTGTGCCTCTTATGAAGAGCAACAATTGAGAGTGTCACCATTAATGCAATTGTCCTCTTCCTGCAACCTGATCAGCACTGTACAGTGTAAATCTTTTGATGTTCATCAACTGCATGGACAGAAACATTTCATCTTTTTTAAAAGTACATTTACTTGGATAAATATGTATTAAACACCTTTTTTTTAAAAAAAGACTAAGTCTTGCTGTGTAATTCAGGCTAACTTTGGACTCACTAGGTAGCCTAGGCTGGCTTCGAATTTGCAGCAATCCCTCTGCCTCAACCTTACAAATGCTGGGATTAGAGACCTGTGCCATCACACCTTGCCTAAGCAGATACTTTGTGCCAGGCTCCTCGCTGCAAGCTGTAGCATTAGTATCTGCTCAGAAGTTCAACCCAAGGTAGGGAACATGGCCACAACTGAACAAATGTGATGAAAGCGTGTGAGGGATGCAGGTGCCTCCCTCACCAGAAGAGGCGCTGCCAGAAACATCTTCTTTCTGTAAATCTCCACTATGTTTGCTTTAGTTAAGGCATCTTAGGGTTTACCATGAGAGAAGTTGTTCTCTCCATGGACTGCAGCCTGCCTGACAGTGTTGAAACACTCTTGAGTGTTATTCAAAGAAAGGAGTGGAGGAAATACTACATGTGGTGCACTCCTTTAATCCCAGCATTTGGGAGCCTGAGGCAGGAGGAGCTGTGAATTCGAGGGCAGCCCTGAACTACCAAATGAGACTGGGTCTCAAAAGCAAAAACAAAAAACAGCTAGGCACATCCTAAGAATGATACAAACCTCCCTGCCCTGATTGTATACGCCTTTTAAGATCCACCTAGATCTAGATTCCTGAGTCACAACCTGAGTCAGTTATGTACTCCCCCGCCAGAGAAGCAAGAGATTTCTGTACCCGAGAGGAGTGAGCAGAGGTACGGATGGTCTGGAAGCTCCACAGGCGGCGCAGCTCTTTGCAAAAGCCAAGCATCTCCCAGCGGGGTCTCCCAGCCGCAGGTTCCAGGCTGGCGGGGAGGGCGCGGAGGGCAGCTCCCGGTCCCTCCTGCAGGCGGCGCTGTGTGTGGGGTCTCCTCGCCGCGCGGTGTGTCCTCAGCCCTCGCCCGGCCCGGCCAGGATCCGAGCGCATCCTGGAGCAGCCGACTTCTCAGAGACAGATTCCTTTAGTGTTATTTCCCATCTTCCAAGCCTCTTCCCTACGGCGCGACCTCCCTGGGAAATCGTGACTCGTCAGGCAGTTTCTTGTACCTCCTGGACTTCTCTGTAGACCTGTTCGGCGGCAGCTCAGGGGAAAACCCAGGCCACTCCCCGCTGGCCCTGCGGTGGCCGCGGTGCTCAGCTGCCTGCGGCCGCGGGGAGCAAAGACCCAGTGGCTGTGCGGTGGCTTCGCAGAGGTGCGAGCTCCGAGCCAAAGGAGGCCAGGCAGGAACGCTGCAGCGTTTTAATTTGCATCGCTTTTTACGTGAAGTAGCGAAAATTCTATATTTAAGAAACAAATATTTTTTTCATGTTTTGCACTTTTCTTCTGGGTTGATCACTGTGTTGCATATTTGTAAGGATTCTTTAGGTGATGAGAATTCAGCCTTCTATTAGTGATAAGTGTAGATATTTCAACTCAGTTTGGTTTTTAACTTTGTTTATAGGTGTTTTACCTTCAAAAATGTTTTATTTTTACATGGATGTCAGTCTTTCTTTTATGGTACTGGATTTTTATTTTATCTATAAAGGTCTTTTCTATTTCATGATTATAAGATAAAATTTCCACGTTATTTTATTGATAATTATGGTTTCATTTTTTTAGCATTTGAATCTTTGAACATTTGGAATTTACCTTATGTGAGGAGTTTTTTAAAAAGGGAATAACTTTTAATAAAAAATTCCAGATGCCTTCCTCAGTATCCCTGTACTGTTTAAAGAGGATTCCATATTTTCAGCGTTGCTAGTTAAAAGCCCAAGATTTACTTTCTAAACCATTGCATATCTTAGAGGTGACTTCTAGATGTTTCCTTCCATATATCTCTGTTCATTCCATGCGATTTTAATTACTGTAGCTATGCTATATCTAATAGGGACAGTCCTCACTCGTCCTTTTTGGTTAGAATTGGCACACAGACTGCAGCAAATCGTCATGAAGACTGTACACCATGATCCAGTGAGATTCATCCCAGGGACGCAGGGATGGTTCACCATGGTTAGAATGTCCAGTATTCTTGCATGGTAACTTTTCCACATT